ATCCTGGCTCTGTGACCTCAAGCAGGGGATTTAACTTTACTCTCCTCATCTGTAAAATGGCCATAACGTTGGAACCAACTTACACGGTTTTTGCGAGGATGCAACGCACGTCACAGAGCGAAAGCTTAAAAATGCTTAACATCCTTAGCGTCACTGAACTTTGGCATCAGGTCGTGTTCATTCTACAATACAGAAAACTCAAACTATTTCTTATGTTTTATATACATGGCTCTTTTTGTTTGTTTTCGTTTTGAGAGTTTAGAAGAAATTCATCTGTAATTCTACTTGGGACAAAAGATGCTGGGGAAGGTAGCTCTTGGGACATCTGTACCCACAGGGGAAAAAACACTAAAAAGCTGTCTCTACGGAGACCACAGGCTGTGCAAAATTAGGGGATTCTCAGAAGAGCAAATCCTTCTCTGCTCTGGCAAGAAGACTGATTCATTCCACAAGTTTCTCCCAGACTAAATTTGAGCAGAACCAAATTCCTTCTCACGAACACTTTTCTGCTCCTCTGATGAGCACGTTTTATGTGTGGAGGTTGGTCACCTTGTCTTTATGGTTACATTCTTGCCTCCTCTGTTTATTGGCATAAGGGAAAGACTATAAACCTGCTGAACGTGTTTTCTTTCTTATGTCTTTCATGTGTTATTTTGAGATCAAGACTGTGATGTGTCCATTTAGAAAATGCCTACCTGCAGGAAAGAAAAACTTACAACAGCTGACATCTTTAACGCAGCCCCAAATAAACAGTAAGTAGCCTGCCTGGGAGCGGGCGGCCGGCGTGTCCTTCGACGGAGGGGGAGTTAGGTCTCCTCTCTTCCTTCTTGCTCTCTTTCTCTTTCTCTCTCTTTTTCTTTTTCTTTTCTTTTCTTTCTTCCTTCTCTTTCTTTCCTCCCTTTCTTTCTTCTTTCCTCTTTCTTCTTTCTTTCCTCCCTTTCTTTTTCTTTTCTTCTCTCTGTTTCTTTTTCTTTTCCTTTCTTTCTTCTCCTTTTCTCCCTTTCTCCTTCCTTTTTTCTTTCTTCTTTCTTTCTTTCTTTCTTTCTTTCTCCTCTTTCTTCCCTCCCTTTTTATTTCCTTCTCTTTTCTTTCTTTCTTTCTTTCTTTCTTTCTTTCTTTCTTTCTCTCTTCCTCCTCCCTCCTCTCTCTCCCCCCACTTTCTTTCTTCTTTTCCTCCACATCCTCGCTGGTATTACCTTGAGAAATACTAGGCTGAGAGTATATGCCAGCTTCATCACAAACAACAGACATACAAGAAAAGCGGGTCACAGAAGCATGATAGGCCAGCTGTGGCCGTCGGGGCTCCAGCTCAGCTCCCACCACTCAATATCTGCCACGTGATCTGGACACATGGCCTTGCCCCTCAGAGCCGTGGTTCTCTCTTCTGTAAAGGTGGTTCCATGCCTACCTCACAGAGTTGTCAAGACACTTAAATGAGACACTGCTGGTCCAGTGCCACCAGGCCTGGCCTCAGGAAGCTGTAGCTGTAGGACTGTTCAGTGCTTGGTCAGTGCTTGGGAAGGTGAGACTGTCACTTTCTGTTTTACTGGAGGCATTAATTTATACTACGTATTTTGTTTCTTGTGTGGGTGCTTTTTCTCTGTGATAATGTGGAGTCATCAGTTAGGAGGCACTCTGGTGCAAGGAAAAGAATGCTCAAAAAAGATGGTTTAAGTAATAAAAACACGTAATTGTATCATATTTTTAAAAGTCCCTAAGTAGGTGGTGCTGAGGTTGTCTTGGCAACACAATAACGTCATCCTTGCCCAGGCCCTTTGCGTCTCTCTGCTCCAGCACCCTCAACTTTTCTCCCTCACATTATCACCTCTTGGTCCCTAGATGGCTGCTGCAACACCAGTCACCCTTAACCGCATTCAGCGGCAGGGCCGGGACAGTGAAAAAAAGAATCTCTTCTCATGACCCTTCACATGACTTCTTTTCTTTTATCAAAGAATAAAATTCTTCCCTGAAATTGTCGGCTGGCTTCCCTCCAGCTTCTTGACCAGAATGGAATCACTCCCCCACCCACCCACCCACCCACCGCCGGCTTCGAGGGAGGCAGAGGAAGCATCTATCTGGCCCCTGCGGGCCTTCGCAGCTGGACAAAGGCACTGGCGGGGACGGTGACACAGCTAACCAGTAGTTTCTGCTACGGGGTGTGGTGCAGTGGTGAAAATATGGGGCTCTCCTGCCCCGTGCGCTGAATGAACAGGGTGTGGGGAAGGAGGGTGGCACACTCACTGCCTCCTCCGTCGGGGCCTGGCCTCCCTGCTCACTTCCCCCGTGAGCCTGGGCAAGCACCTGGCCCTCCAAGCCTCCCCTGAACAATGAGAGGCTTTGAGCAGTCTCCCCATAAACAACACATCATGCCGATGCTTTTAAGCACGTAAGAAAAGAGAATGAAGAATACGGAGGGGTGGATTATTGATCTGTCACATTAATTACCGAGACAGCAAGCTTGCTAAGGCCTCCAAGGAGAGATCCTCTGTGGAGCTGGGTGGAGGACGCGGGACAAAGAATGGTGTTGACGGGAAAGAGACCTGAGCTGTGTGCTGAAGGGTGGGCTGCCTTGGAGCGCCAAGGGAAGGGGGCGCTCCCAGCAGGATGGAGCCAGCCAAAGGGCGGAGGTGTGGGAGAGCCCATGTTGGCTTGGAGGTGAGTAAAGAGACAGACTTTACCTAAAACACCTTATCAGTAGCCTGTTGCACCCAAAAATAGCCACTCCAGATGTTTTAGGAAGGACAGGGTTCCGTGGTCCATTATGTCAGGTCTGTTACCTTATACTCCAGCCAACACACCCAGTAAAAACGTAATGCAAGCCGCATAAATAATTCTGAGCTTTTTACTGGATGTGTTAAAGAAATAAAGAGAAATAAATGAAATGCATGTATTTAACCCAACACTGTATACCCAAGATATTGTCATAATCAGTAGACATTATTGATGAGATAGTCTGAATTTTTCATGGAGAAGAAACAACACGGTGAGTCTTCGAAAGCCACTGTGTGTTTATACTCGGAGTTGTGGTCAGCGGCCATGTGCTGCTGGGGGGTGGAGGCCAGGTGGGGGG